GCGGGTGTAGCGAAATGCTTGTGCTTCTAGCTCCGACAGTGTAGTAATATCTAACAAGTAATATCTAACAATTTCACAACATATACCCAATACACACAAATCTAGTAAGGAATGGAAGAATTTAAGAGTATATACATATATGGACAAGCAATGACAGAGCGGCATGGACTAAGATAGAGTAGAATATTATAGAATATAATACATTATATACATATGAGATGAGTAGTGCAAGATATGTAAACATTATTAAAGTGACTAGTGTTCCATTTCTTAAAGTGGCCAGGGATTTCAATATGCAGCAGCAGCCTCTAATGTGCTAGTGATGGCTATTTAACAGTCTGATGGCCTTGAGATAGAAGCTGTTTTTCATTCTCTTGGTCCCAGCTTGATGCACCTGTACTGACCTCGCCTTCTGGATGATAGCGGGATGAACAGGCAGTGGCTCGGGTGGTTGATGTCCTTGATTATCTTTTTGGCCTCCCTGTGACATCGGGTGCCCTGTAGCTCAGTTGGTAGAGTATGGCGCTTGCAACGCCAGGGTTGTGGGTTCGTTTCCCACGGGGGGCCAGTATGAAAATGTATGCACTAACTGTAAGTCACTCTGGATAAGAGCGTCTGCTAAATGACTAAAATGTAAAAAATGTGCTGTAGGTGTCTTGGAGGGCGGGTAGTTTGCCCCAGGTAATGCGTTCGGCAGACCGCACTACCCTTTGGAGAGCCCTGTGGTTGCGGGCGGTGCAGTTGCCGTACCAGGCGGTGATACAGCCTGACAGGATGCTCTCAATTGTGATTCTGTAAAGGTTTGTGAGGGTTTTAGGTGCCAAGCCAAATTTCTTCAGCATCCTGAGGTTGAAGAGGCTCTGTTGCACCTTCACCACACTGTCTGCATGGGTGGACCATTTCAGTTTGTCAGTGATGTGTACGCCAAGGAACTTGAAGCTTTCCACCTTCTCCACTGCGGTCCCGTCGATGCTGTTTCCTGAAGTCCACGATCATCTCCTTTGTTTTGTTGACGTTAAGTGAGAGGTTATTTTCCTGGCACCACACTCCTTCCCAGAGCCCTCACCTCCTCCCTGTAGGCGGTCTCGTCATTGTTGGTAATCAAGCCTACTACTGTTGTGTCGTCTGCAAACTTGATGATTGAATTGGAGGCGTGCTTGGCCACGCAGTCATGGGTGAACAGGGAGTACAGGAGGGGGCTGAGCATGTACCCTTGTGGGGCCCCAGTGTAGAGGATCAGCGAAGTGGAGATGTTGTTTCCTACCTTCACCACCTGGGGGCGGCCCGTCAGGAAGTCCAGGACCCAGTTGCACAGGGCGGGGTTCAGACCCAGGGCCTCAAGCTTAATGATGAGCTTGGAGGGTACTATGGTGTTGAATGCTGAGCTATAGTCAATGAACAGCATTCTTACATAGGTATTCCTCTTGTCCAGATGGGATAGGGCAGTGTGCAGTGTGATGGCAATTGCAGTGTGATGGCGATTGCATCGTCTGTGGATCTATTGGGGCGGTGAGCAAATTGAAGTGGGTCTAGGGTGACAGGTAAGGCAGAGGTGATATGATCCTTGACTATTCTCTCAAAGAATTCCATGATGACAGAGGTGAGTGCTACAGGGCGATAGTCATTTAGTTCAGTTACCTTTGCTTTCTTGGGTACAGGAGCAATGGTGGCCATCTTGAAGCATGTGGGAACAGCAGACTGGGAAAGGGAGAGATTGAATATGTCCGTAAACACACCAGCCAGCTGGTCAGTGAATGCTCTGAGGACGCGGCTAGGGATGCCGTCTGGGCCGGCAGCCTTGCGGGGGTTAACATGCTTAAATGTCTTACACACGTCGGCCATGGAGAAGGAGAGGCCACAGTCCTTGGTAGTGGGCCTCGTCGGTGGCACTGTGTTATCCTCAAAGCGGGCGAAGAAGGTGTTTAGCTCGTCTGGAAGCTAGACGTCGGTGTCGGCGACGTGGCTGGTTTTCCTTTTGTAGTCTGTGATTGTCTGTAGACCCTGCCACATACGTCTCATGTCTGAGCCGTTGAATTGCGACTCCACTTTGTGTCTATACTGATGTTTTGCAAGTTTAATTGCTTTGCAGAGTGAGTAGCTACACTGTTTGTATTCTGCCATATTCCCAGTCACCTTGCCATGGTTAAATGCGGTGGTTCGCGCTTTCAGTTTTGCGCGAATGCTGCCATCTATCCATGGTTTCTGGTTAGGGTAGGTTTTAATAGTCACAGTGGGCACAACATCTCCTATACACTTCCTGATAAACTCAGTCACCGTTTCAGTGTATTCATCTAAATTATTTTCGCAAGCTACCCGGAACATATCCCAGTCCACGTGATCAAAACAATCTTGAAGTGTGGATTCCGATTGGTCAGACCAGCGTTGAATAGTCCTTAGCACGGGTAATTCCTGTTTGAGTTTCTGCCTATAGGAAGGGAGGAGCAAAATGGAGTCGTGGTCAGATTTGCCGAAAGGAGGGCAGGGGAGGGCCTTATAACCATCCCGGAAGTTTGAATAGCAATGGTCGAGGATTTTAGCAGCGCGAGATATGTTGATAGAACTTCGGCAGCCTAGTCCTCAAATTTGCTTTGTTAAAATCCCCGGCTACAATAAATGCAGCCTCAGGATATGTGGTTTCCAGTTTGCATAAAGTCCAGTGAAGTTCTTTGAGGGCCATCGTGGTATCTGCTTGAGGGGGGATTTACACGGCCGTGACTATAACCGAAGAAAATTATCTTGGGAGATAATACGGTCGGCATTTGATTGTGGGGTATTCTAGGTTGGGTGAACAGAAGGACTTGAGTTCCTGTATGTTACTACAATTAGTATCATCTACAATCATGAAACACACACCTCCACCTTTCTGCTTCCTGGAGAGATATTTATTCCTGTCTGCGCGATGAACTGAGGACCCATCTGGCTGGACCGATTTCGACAGAATATCCCAGAGAGCCATGTTTCCGTGAAACAAAGTATGTTACAGGCCTTGTTCAGTCTCTGGTTACAGCTTGTTAACCAGAGACTGAACATTAGCGAGTAGTATACTTGGAAGCGGCGGGTGGTGTGCACGCCTCCTAAGTCAAACCAGCAGGCCACTCCGAGTGCCTCTCCTCCGCCGGCGATGTTTTGGGTCAGCCGCTGGAATCAGTTCAATTGCCCTGGGGAGAGCAAACAAAGGAAAGTCGTATTCCTGGTCGTAATGCTGGTGAGTTACCGCCGCTCTGATATCCAATAGTTTTTCCCGGCTGTATGTAATGATACAAAACACTTTCTGAGCTAATAATATAAAAAATAATATATAAAAAAACAAAATACCGCAAAGTTTCCTAAGAGCTAATCGCGAGGCCGCCATCCTCGTCAGCGCCAGTATACAAATCATCCCTTTCAACCAAGATGAACAAGCTATCAACATTATGTACTTATTCTAAGACAAATCTTCCATGACCAGTAACACAATAGTAATTGCTATGTAACTATCAACTGCACACTGCCATACACTTGCTTACTACGTGGTTTAGCTCCACTTTATCCGAGGTTGAACTATCCTTCCAAACTGATGATTGGCTGCATATGATAACCCTAGTGTTATGAGACCTAGAGTCACCTTTCTCCCCCGTCCAATGATGGTAAAATAATATCCCAATTTTCCATCCCCTCTGACCAGGCCCCTGGTTTGATCCCCTCTGACCTGTGAGACTGGCCCCTGGGATGTAGGTGCCGCTGCTGGCTGAGACTATGTACAGGGCCACAGTGGCCATGGGACCAAAGGTAGTGCAGAGGGGCCATGCTCCCACAGGAGGGGACCACAGAGCCATTGGGGAATGACAGGGCTCCCTCCATAAAGGCAGATATCAGGATGATGGGTAGAACGTGTGGATGCATCTAAAAAACAGCCATCAAAAGGAGACTGTATCACTGTCCTACAACAGACAATTGGCAGTATTTCTCATGTACAAAATGCTGTGAAAATTGTTCATTTACCATACATACAGCTAATAAGGTGTCACCAAACCATTTGTTTACATTACGACATGCAAAAGAAGACTACTGCAATGACATGCCTCTGACATACAATAATACGGATTTAAAAGGTATTGTTATGTAATAGGCCCTACTTTATCATTATGTCAATCTTCTTGTGATTTTTTCTATAGACAAATTCACTCTCAGTAACCTACCTAGATAATTCAAGACAATTTAAATACAGACTTATTGCCCAGAGTAATTGAACAGAAAAATAACTGACAGACACTTACAGTCAATACTGAAATACCCCACAGTTGTCGTCGGTCAGTGGTGCTGTATCCAAGTGCTATACCAAAACCGTTGAGAGACTTTAGCCATGCGAGTATTTCCTCTTTTCAAACCAAATGATTGAATTTCAGGTGGCGGCACAAAAAGGAAGTGAAGGGGTTAACTTCACACTGAATAGACAAAAGCAGGTCATTGCTAAACTCTTGCCCCCCACTTACTAACAATGTCCTCAAAGTGGGGTTGAACTGGAGCTCAGATTACTCATGACATCATGAAACACTAATCCTGTGTACTTGCCAAAACAAGTGGTCATAACTTGTTTTTTTATTGTTTCCCAGCATCTCCAACTCAACAGTCAAGAAAAAAGGACATGGCTGTCTAAGTGATAATGCCTTAACATTTCAGTCTGTGCTTGAAATCCTAAACAACGCATCATTTGAAGCCATTATTTCATGAACGTCTTTCCAGATACCGTAGTTCTTCTGTGGCCACCAAAGTGTATTGTATTATCTCTAACCACTATGTTCTCATACTATGCTCTACAACTGTTGTGGAAAAGTCCAAGGAAATGTACTATAGTAGCCTGGTAAAGCAGTGTAAACTCAAAAACAACAACTGTGGAACTTCCAAAACAGCTTGGCTTTTATTTCGGTCTTCCTAAAACAGCTGGAGACATACAGTACACATTTAGAACAACTCTGTACAGTAAAAGTATTTTAAAAAAGCGAATCAAGAGAACAGGGCTTCTACAGCAGAAGAGGTGGAGAGACCGTGTACTGAGTGGTCGAGCCACGGTTGGACGATCGGACCGTGAGTCTCTGCGGTTGGTCTCTCCTGACCGTGGAGCTGTGGATCCAGCTCGATATGCAGTCACGTAACAGGAGCTGCCTTTGGGGGGTTGTAACGTTACTGAGCGGTTACTGAGCGACGCCCAGGGTATTATAGCACCTTTGGTGGGAGTTGGTCTGGCTCCCAGGGTTTTTTGCTTTGGGGGGAAAGGGGGTAGAGAGGTGGAAGGTCTTGGGTTAGGGAAGAAGATGGAGTGGGTGAGGTTCTGGAGGTGGTTAGGGAGGGAGGAGAGATTGGGGGACAATTCTAGCCTGGTTTATGTGTGCTTTATGGAACCCCTCTCTGCAATGTTCGTTTCTTACCATTCCAAACATGTACAGGTAACTGCCAAAATAATGGAAACACTTGAGTAAATGAGGGTTCTGACAGCTCTGTTATGATGTGGGGTGCATTTTCCTGGCATGGTTTATGTCCACTCAACCCCTTAGAGGGCAAGGTGTGGTCCTCTGTAGCTCAATTGGTAGAGCATGGCGCTTGTAACGCCAGGGTAGTGGGTTCGATCCCCGGGACCACCCATACGTAAAAATGTATGCGCACATGACTGTAAATCGCTTTGGATAAAAGCGTCTGCTAAATGGCATATTATTTATATTATAAGGTAAAGGCCAACCGATGGTGATCACCTTCAACCTATGGTGAATCATTTCTATCCTGATGGGAGTGGATGGCAATGCCCCCATCCACAGGACATGAGTGGTCACTGAATGGTTTGATGAGCATGAAAACGATGTAAAACATATGCCATGGCCATCTCAGTCACCAGATCTCAACCCAATTGAACACTTATGGGAAATTCTGGAGCGGCGCCTGAGACAGCGCTTTCCACCACCATCAACAAAACACCAAATGATGGAATTTCTCATGGAAGAATGGTGTCACATCCCTCCAATAGAGTTCTAGACACTTGTAGAATCTATGCCAAGGCACATTGAAGCTGTTCTGGCAGCTCGTGGTGGCCCAACATCCTATTAAGACACTTTATGTTGGTGTTTCCATTATTTCGGCAGTTACCTGTAGCTATGGCATGAAAACAAGTCAGAGTTGGCTACAGGCCATAGAACTTCTGGAACCAGGCTATAGGTCAAGTCTACAATCTAAAGGAAAAGAGTCCAGGGCACAGTGCAAGGTGTCCTGTATGGGGACTGTCTTCACATTCTGTGGGGGGCCATTGTGAGTGCAGGCCCCTGGCCTGTGGCCCCTGGCCCTTACGGGGCCTTGCTCTTACAGGACTGGCAGCAGGCCTTCCTGTAGTACCAGTGTGTACACAGTTTCACCTTCAGCACCAGGGCACAGTTGGCCGTCGCCTTGTCCTGACACACCTCTTCAACTAGGGGAGAAGAGGGGGGACAATATTACAGTGGCCATTTTGACAGACAGACAGTTAGCCAGACAGACAGCGTTCTTCCTACCTGGGGCCTCTGTGGGACAGGCCTGCACCTCACACGTCTGCCCGGCCTCAGGTTTGAGGGCGGAGTCACAGCTGTGGCCTAGCTCCTCCCCCTGGTAGCACTTTACCTCCCGAACATGCACCCCGCTGCCACATGTCTTACTGCACTGTGATGGGAGGAGAGGAAAAGCAATGACATTACTCACACGCAGGAACAAAAAGTGACTAACGGCCACATTTTGTATTGTGCTTGAGAAGAGAGAGAGTGAGAGCATCACACAAACCCTGCCGTATTTATTTAGCATAAACTACTAAACTATGGCATAAACACTGATAGAATTGTCTAAATGACAGTGGAATGAGCTAGAGGAGACTGCCTAAAACAGAGTGCGATGGAGAGGAGTCATTGATGGTCCAAAGTAAGTGAGTAACAGTGACAGCGGTTGGATTGCTCTAATGACAGGTACCTGAGACCAGGAAGTGGTGAACCACTTGGAGCAGGGCCTCTCGAAGCAGGCGGAGCTCTCCTCAGGTTTGAGGGCAGAGTCACACATCTGCTCGGGAAACTCCTTGAACACACCGTCCTCCAGGCCTGAACAGACCACCTGCCGCGTTTTCACCCCCCGCCCACAGGTGGCGTTACACTGATGGTACACAGGGAGAGAGGAAGACTGTTACCACCACAGCCAGAGAGTTCTCTGTCATCTTACATGTAGTTCCCCTGTGAATCATGCATTTCACACAGTGGTACAAGTTTTGACCTTGCTGTAAAGCCTGGACTTGTTTGTTGCGTTATTACTATGACAATGTTTGTTTAAGCTACTATGAAAATGTTTGTTAAGTGTATTGAATTAAGTTGAATGAAATAGAAACGACTGAAGCTGAACTATGTTGAACTCTCAAATAAAAGATCTGACATGTATTGAGAAGCTGTTGTGAATACTCTGCTAGGCAAGTCATTCTTCTACATAAAGCTACAGTACACTCACCTGTTCCCACTCCTGTTCCACCCAGTGTGCGGGGCAGTTCTTGTCCCCACAGGGGTACACAGCCAGGGGCTTGAGGTCCAGGTCACACTGGCCGTCAGAGATCACGTTGCCGTTGCTGTTCTTACACACCACATAACGTGTCATCCTACCCTTGCCACAGGCTCCTGAACACTTAGAGAGTACGCAGACAGCCAGGGGGAGGAAGGGAGGAGGGAAAGAGAGGGAGGGAGAGTAAGAAAGAGTGTATGAGAGAGACAAGTGATGACAGGGAAATGAGAAAGCGGGATAGAGGGAAACAAAGTAACAACGAGGGAGAGCTTATTCAAGATCAAGAGTAGATGTATTGATTTCATATCAATTATATATTATCAAAAATACAATATCAAGATTATTTTTCAGCCCATATTATTGCTGTCACAGCCTAATAACATGACGATCTGAGTGTAGTTCCTGAACCTATATAGGTAAAGGTGTTTTTTCCTGACCATGTGACTGGACCAGGAAAAACCCTGGGTGTTAGCTATGCCTAGGCTAAGACCTTTGTGCAGCTGAGGGTGGTTAACTCACAGGGCCCCAGTCAGAAACAGTCCACCTGCGGTCACAGGGCGGTCCCTCACACTCCTTCTCACTGAGTGGTCGTGAGGATTCGTTACACAGACGTGTCTCCATGGAGCAGCGCACCTCCCGACTCCTCAAACCCCGTCCCCCACACCGAGCTGAGCACTGCAAGAGAGAAACAACCACACTGCCCTCCATCAATGCTCAGAGAACACACTATTATGATCCTTCATTCCTGAGAGATGGAGTATGATAGCTAACATTTTACAACTTCATATGGTTCCTACTGATCCCCAGAACACATACTTTAAGATCCATTTCTATCTTAAAGATTTCTTGTCAGATACACAATCAAAAACACACACACACACACACACAAACGCACCTCAGACCAGTCAGAGACTTCCCATTGTGGGCCACAGCCTTTGCTCTTGCAGGCCTTGCGTGCCATTGGTTTCTGCAGCTCTGCAGCCACACACAGCTCGTCATACACAGAGCTGTCGAAGCCTGGAGCCATCATCTTCCAGCAGCGCACCGTACGGAACTGGTATCCCTCGCCGCACGTCCTCGAACACTCACTCCACCGACTGGTCTCCCACCTTGAACACAGGATGAAGACCCAGTCAGCCCAAGTATAATGGTTAGTGTAAGGCTTTAGCTCCGCTGGCTAACACAATCTTATGGCATGCAGGACAACAGGGTTCGAACTCCAGTCGGTCACAATTGTCCTAGAGAAAGGTTATTATTTGTGTGAAGAGAATGGCAGACTTAATGCCAACAGGCATATTGCATCAAAGGAGCTATAAATCCAGTAATTATTCTCACAGCATCAGGTCCTAGCCAACGGAATATAATTCAGAATACTATTTACTGGTCCACGAGGACTCCAATCTGATGTTGGAGTGAAACTGATCATGTGTGATATCTGACCTTGGTGGACACTCCTTCCCGGTGCAGAACTCATGTGTGGGTTCAGGTCTGGTCACGGCGTCACAGTAAGTCTCATCCACCTCAGAGCCGTCATAGCGGACACACAGGGCGTAGGACGTACTGATACCTGGCAAGGAAACATAGACTACCATGACCAATATAATACTGAAACTCACACAGCTGTTGAACAATCAGGGTTAAACAAAATATCCCAGTGAACATGTATCCTTTATGTTAATTTGGTTAATGAGACTAACGTATATTTAGTGAGAGGTATGATCAATTTGGAGAAAAGAGACACTAAGTGATTTGCCAGTACCGGTATGTGTCTATGTTTGTGTAATGTATGTGAACGTGTGTGAGAATATGTGTATAAAGTGTGTGTACAATGTGTGTGTGTCTGTGTACACAGTATGTGTGGTGTGGCTGGTAGCTGCACCTGTGGTACATGTTGAACTGCAGGGTGCATACGCAGATACCTTCCATCTGTACATGTCAGCAAGGCTGATGTCATGGTCTAGCAATCCCACCTCAAACTCATTGCTGCTGGAACACATTGGGAGAGAAAGGGAGGAAGAAGCACAAAACCGGAGAATGGAAGAAAGAGATAGAGAGAGACACAGAGGGAGAAAGGTGATTGAACCTAACCAAATGTAACCTAACAATGTATCTACTTAATATAAAGGTAGGTACCATTGGGGAAAAAGCACACCAACAAATAACAACCAACAAAAGCACATATAATGGGGCAGACCCTCCTCACATCCACTCCCCAAAGTCTTCCGTCCACCCGTCCACCAAGGCAGCTCACCTCTCTGTGTCGGGAGCCTGTACCGGCTCTACCTGGTGGAGGTTGACGAGGTTGGAACTCTCTGTCCCGTTGGGCTCTGGTTCAAAAAGGAGTCCATAGGGGGCGTTGTCCACAGCCGTGCCCTCGTGGAGGTTGAGGCTGCCTGGGTAGATCTCCAGCTGGGCCAGGCTGTTGTCCAGGGAAGAGCTAGTGTTGAGTTCCAGGAGAGGGCAGAGATTGGAGCCATCCTGGCAGGGTTGTCTGGGGCCTCCTGGCTCAGATAGCAGGTCCAGGAACAGGCTCCTGTGGAGGGGCTTGGATGGTCGGTGGGTGCCGTTGGGACCGGGAGAGTCGCCATCGATCAAGTTTGAGTCTGTCCCTTGTAAAATACATAGACAAATTATTTAAAATCTCATAAAAGATTATACTGATCATTCCCATCACAAAAGGGCATCAAAACCGTTTCCTGATATCCCGCAATAATATACTTCTAAGAAACTTCCCAAATAAAAGTGACAGACTACAGGCCAATGTCCTTGTCCGTTACAGATACAACAATGTTTGTACATTTTAAAGTTTAAACTCTCTGTAAAATAGTCAAGTGGATACACAGCCCAGATATAAACTTCATACTCAGACTCACTGTAGTTAGGCAGTGCAGGATGTCCCTGGTCTCCTAGTTTATTCTCCAGGTTGTTGTGGTAGATCTCACTGACTGGTCTGAACACCAGCATGGCTGGTGGGTGACTGAGGTTGAGAGGAGCCTGTAGTTCCCACACAAGACTTTCATGGTCATGATCCAGGTCATGGTCTACATCAGGGGGCTCGTCTGGGGCCAGAACACCACTATGGTTTCCCAGCTTCCCATAGTCCTCGCTGGCCTCAATCTCATTATCATTGAAGGAGAGTTCTGTGGCGGTGTCGTTGGCTATTTTTTCTGGCCACGGTTCTGGGACCACTGGATCAACGACGGACAGTGCTCGTATCTGGACCTCCTCTGGAGGTGAGGCTACTGGGGTTGTTGTGCGGGCTTCTGGGGTGCGAGGTACGGTGTACTCATATGTGATGTGGGGCATCTTTCCGTTCAGGTTGTAGTACTTGTATAAAAGAGTAAGAGGCCTTTCAATCACATATACAACAAAGCCAACATGTCAATTGTCTATTTGAGGAATCACTGGAAAACATGCCCTAGTTACCTACAGACAGTACATACCTAAATACCTACCATGACGTTTAGCCCCTGGTCAGTGGGTCCTTGGGCGATGATATACTCAAATCCATCTGATAAGAGGTTAGCGGGTCTCCTGTACTTGAAGACTGTGCCAGCAACACGGAAGTTGCGGGGATTGTCGATAATTGTGTCCCCATTGAAAAAGAAATGTCCTGCTTCATCGGATAGGGCTGGAGGAAAGCAATAAAATCTTATGGACAACAGCTGTAACAACTTTCTTGCTAAATTAATGCTGTTTCAGATTTATTCCACAAACCCAGGCACAAGTTTTGATTGGATAGGGCCTATGGTAATCATGCGGAAATCAACAACAGCTCATATTTCTTAATTCTAGTAACTATGACGTTAAAACCCAAACTTGTAAGGTTGTATGTCCTCCAAAACATGTTCTGCTTGTTAAGTTTCACAATTTCTAGTTACTGTATCCCAATAAAATTCAATACAACATGATATGGATCTTACCCAGTATATTTTCTGTTTTCCGTCTCTCAATGATCTGGATGTCGGTGGCACCGACAGGAATGTTGGTGATAAACACATAACCTGATCCAAAGGAAAAAACAAGAACACCCACTTTAGTTGTGCCTTTATTTCCAGGCACATTGTGACATGGAGATTAAGGCTCTTTGATTTTATTGATGTTTAAAAGGGTACTTAAAAAGGTAGGATATACTGTATAACCTCTTGATACTACTTAAGATATACCTAACTGTGTGCTCCCTTTCCGGTGAGATCCAGACACTCTGTAGCAGGAGCTGCCATTCCCGCCGCACACGCCGCACGAATCTACCGTTTTACTGGAGTAAAGCTTCCCGTCACACCCCACCGTCTGTAGTACAGGGCAACCAGGGGAGAGAAGAGAAGAAAGTCCTCATTAGTTTGGGATCCTTTTCCTAACCCTTTGACCTGACCAGGAAAAACTAGGTATAAAATCTCCTGGCAACAACTCATTACAGACCTAGGCCCAAAGTGCATTGATTGACATTATTTGGCAGATGCTTTGAACCAAAAGAGACTCAAGCGGTTGATCACGAAAAAAAATGAATGGTCCTAATACCGATCCCTGTGGCACACCTGACACTGGCCCTCGATGCAGACGCCCTGGTAGATGCCATCCCGGCAGTAGGTTCCGTCGTGGGCCGGGACCAGCAGCTGCCTCTCCCCCGTGGTGGTGGTGCACTGGAGGTCACACGGCTTGTTGGAGATACTGATGTAGTCATCTGGAACAGGAAGTGACATCAGAGAACAACTTAAAGAAATGTTCAGATACTCTTAAGTACATTAAGCCTGTTTTGACACCAGCTACAAAAGCCAGTCCTTGAGGTTATTGTCTAGAATGGAGATTTGATTATAGAGGGATTGAGAAATTGACCCAAATGCGATTAGATATGAATGAGAATGTTTTTATTTGTCATGTCTATATGTCATTTACCTAGAAACCGAGACATAATAGTCAGAGTTTAAAGATGACATAAGCCTTGGACTGGGGCCTTAAAGCATGATGCAAGATGTTCTATGGAAAGGTACTCGTTTCCTGATTCCGACAGGCAAAAGCCAAACGAGTCAGACAAGAGAATGAAAGACAAAAAATGAACATCAAATTAATGCAACTAGGCAAAAGCTTGAGAGAGAAAGGAAGAAGGAGAGAGGAGAAATAGAGGGTGCGTCCCAATAAAAGCTTCTTTCTCCTGAAGTGTGCACATGATCATTACTTCCCACAAATCTAAAAGCATAGGATTGGTGGAGGCATGGGCTAGAGGGAGTCTTCGCCATATTTCTTATACCAGTCATTTCCTTTCGAATCAGTGAAGGTGAACAACTGCACACTTCTATAGGTAGGAGAGATAATTGGGACCTAGCAAGATAGACAAGGAAAAATAGCATATTAGAGAATGAAAACCATCTATGACTAATGAATTGCTTACCTGGATAGAGGGGCACCCACTCATAGTGTCTCCTGCCAAAGGCTTTGGCGTTGAACTGGGAGCACTGCTGCTGTTTGAAGCTGACACTGGTACTGAAGCAGGGCTGGGGAGAAAGATGAGACAACAGTAAACCAAGTCTCAGAAACAAATGGAAGTAGAGTAGGCAATGCATGTTTTCTAGACTGTGACACTGTGACACTGAAACATCTTCAGTCTAAAGCTCATATTCCACTTTAACAGGGCAATCTGCAGTTAAAAACAATAACAAAGGGTTCACCCTGCCTCTGTTTTGGTAAAAAGCTCAGGGATGGGCCTGGATAAATGTAACCACTCTTAAATGCATACAGTAGACAGAGCTATTGATGCAAGGACTGACCATCCAAGATATCAAAATTACAGTTTTGAGCATATTTGGAGGCTATAGAGTGTTTGTTTACATGTAAAACAAGCTTATATTTTGATAGGGTATGACAGTTGATCTTAGCTCATCAGGAAGTTATAAGCTACCTGTATATTCTTCAAGAATCAATGAGTATACATCCTTTATTTATAAGTCCAAAAATGATGTAGCAACTGCAGATTGCCCCTTTAAAGGGGAGCCGAATCATTGTAAACTTAATCCATTAGAAATTGGTAGGGCAATGGTGCATAAGCTAATAGATGCCTAGCAAATACTGTTGTTGAGACTTGACTCGGTTGATACTCCCAAAATGAGAGGAGAAAATTCAATTCATGGTGTTGGTGTAAATGCATACCTGAAATGGACACAGCTGATACTGCTTTGGAGATCCGACACAGAAGGAGCTGTTGATGTTCTGTGTGGCAGTGAGTCTGGAGAGAAAGGGTTCAACATAAACATACTTATCTTGCATGAGCAGACAAAATGTGATATTACAATAAAGATACCTTAGTTTGAACCTTGTTAATGGTCTTATAGTGTACTCCTTAAGATGTGTAAAGTTGATGTGACCTCAAAAGATCTCCCACAGTTCACGATAAACTCAGGTTATACAGTAAGTAAATGGAAGAAAAAGGTGAGTTACACTAGTATCTCCACTGTGGTAATCTCTTTAAGGAGTAAGGCTTTCATGTTTAGCCTACCTTCCACAGGACTAACATGAGATAGCCCCCCCTAGACTCCAGATGTTAAACTTTCCCAGGCTTTTTCAGAGCTTTCCCCAACACCCCTTCCACTCCTCCCCTCCAGATGTGGGTCTCCTCTTCTCTCTCTCTCTCATTCTCTCTAGCTAACACACCATTTTCCCCTTTCCATCTCCCTCTTTCTTTCCCTCTCTCCCTGTCTCTCTCTTTGTCTTCTTTCACCCACCACCCTCTCTCGCTCTCTCCTTTCCCCTCTCTCTCTCTCTTTACTCACATCTCCCTCTTTCCCTCTCTCGCCCCACCCCCCTTCACCCTCCCCACACCACACAGGGGGAGTGTTAATGGGCGCCAGCTGGAACAGCTCAAAGTCAAACCCTGGTGCTTATCTGGGGAGGAATCTCCCCCTAAATGGCCCAGCGCCTGACTAAAAGCCCTTTTATAAATATGGCTGTCACTCCGGCCAGACTGGCCCGTGTCATGTGGAACCGCTGACCGCCGGGATTGATGTTCATTCCACAGGACATTCCTCGGACCGCAAGAGGGTGCCCCAGAGGTTATTTGTCAAGGGGGAAACTTCTCTTTTTCACGCTCTCTCTCTCTCTCTCTGTCTTTCTTTCTGTCTCTTTCTTTCGTTCCCTCTCTCTTTCTCTCTCGCTGTCTTTCTCGACGTCCTATTCTCTCTAAGGAAAACTGGTGGGGTCAGAACCTATACTTTAATCTAAACCATGGAAATATGACGTTATGTATTTGTCTCCCTAGAAACTGTTAATCCACATAACTGTCAAGTTAATGAAAACCCCTATCCACCTTCCATTTAACAAACCCAGTTCTCAAATAAATCCATCAGCATTATTACTTGATTACTCCACATACAAAACACATATACATGTTATATGGTATATGTTATAGTACATGTTATGTCACACACCAAGAGCAGGGGCCGTCGGGCAGGATTGAACATGGACACTTCAGACCGGAGATCATTGAGCCCCCAATTACCAGCCGTTTAAATGAGCTCTGGAGTCAAACCCGCTGATGAGGACTGACACCCCCCAGTATGAGGAGTGGGTTCAGTTCAGGGTCAAACTGTGTGTGTGTGTGTGTGTGTGTGTGTGTGTGTGTGTGTGTGTGTGTGTGTGTGTGTGTGTGTGTGTGTGTGTGTGTGTGTGTGTGTGTGTGTGTGTGTGTGTGTGTGTGTGTGTGTGTGTACTAGCAGCACTGCAGCTTGTCAGGCCTGATCAGACCACTGCTGGGAGACATTTCCGGAACATTTGGAAGTAAGTGTGTGTGTGTTGTAATGCCTACATTAGGCTGTCATAAGTGTAATGGTGTAAAGCGTGTCGTAACAGTTCGTGACAGCAGGAAACAGGAAGCGTTTTATAAGTCTTGATTGGTTGACTCTGTGATGGTTGAACCTCAAATTCCAGGCTTTTTGAATGAGACTTTGGAGTATGGAACAATTGAATTGGAGTTCATTTTGGTAGCTGTCATCATAGCTAGCATGTTGTGGGAAATATTGTCACTCTAACAGAAATCTCATACAGTGTGTTATAACCCAAAAACAAATGTAAGTGTTGGGTCTAATTTTCCTCCAGGAGAGTATTCCACAAACAACATTAATGAGTTGGCAAGCTGACTTTTCAAAACTTTTTTTAACCAATTTGAGTAGCCATAATGATTAGCAGCCTGACTCCTTGGTCCCACTGGCCTAGTTAATTCTAGCATTGGGTTGGCTCTCTACCTGCCTAAAGACCATAGCAGGCAGTGGCAGCTTTAGAGAAGTGATGGTTAGTTAGGTTCCCAAGTGTTTCCTGTATTTCCTGACCAGGAAAAACTTCTGGCCCAGGATGTTGTAGAAATAATGTACGGCCCGCACACACGATTGCTCCAGCACATACCTTTTTGTTTGGCAACGTTTCAATCCAAGAGTGGATCTTCGTCAGGTCAGTGATGGTGTATCTTTACCTCTGCTGCAGACAGTGTCGTTCCTGAGAGCGCACCCCTCCTCCACAGGTCCTGGAGCAGGTAGACCAGCTGCTCCACTCTCCCCACCACTGGGCCACCTCGTCGGGCTGCTGCCCCCGGCTCTGGTGCCTCTGGCTGTGCCGGCTCTGCCGCTGGACCTCCTCCCTCCCGTCACTACTGTCCTGGCAGAGACAGAGTATTTTACATGTGTATTACACTGTATGTACAGTATGCATACGTGTGTGTGCGTGTGTGCTTGTTGCGTGTGTATGTCCATCTCGATGTAGTTTAGGTTGTCCAGAACAGTTTTCTCTTCTTCTCTCCCCCCATAAGGAAGGCATAAGGGACAGTTGTGTTGTTTCCTATAAGTGTTGGTAAAAGCCCTGTAGCTCTAACAGTAGGGTTGCTGTGCAGACTGCAATTGGCAGCAGCAGCTGGCTGGACTGTTCCATTAAACCCGAGCAGGTACGGAAAACGAAAAGACCAAAAATCACTTTAGGTGGCATTCGCACAAGATTCCCATTGTAAGTGTTCTGTCTCTGTGTGCAAGAGTAAGGCAGCAAGCAACGCAGTAACATGACTGACTTTGCTATGCTTCCTTTATTCCTGAAGTGTGTCCTACCTACATGAATAAGCACACACTGGGGCGTGTTTCCCTAAACCCTTCAGTGAATGCATTGCGACCACTTATGGTGCTATGGTACACTTTCCACCCGACGAACCTGTTAACACGTGTTTGGATACACTGACTAAAGCAGAGTCCAAAAAGGCTGCTGCTACCTTCTGGGGTATGCCTTAAAACCTATAGATGATAAGGTTTATTCCAAGTGGTGAAAGATGCGGGGGTAAAACTGTTTACTTCTGTGACTTAAAGGAAAGCAGAAACCTAACCAAAACCTGTAATGCATTTAGGAGGGGAGAGAGAGGGAGGGAAGGAGAGAGATAGAGAGAGAGAGAGAGAGAGAGGGAGAGGGAGAGAGAGAGAGAGAGAGAGAGAGAGAGAGAGAGAGAGAGAGAGAGAGAGAGAGAGAGAGAGAGAGAGAGAGAGAGAGAGGGAGAGAGAGAGCGAGAGAGACTAAAATTCAAAACAGAGCTGGTGGTTGGCTATGAATATCTTTTCTTTACAGAGGTAGAGACAGGCCAAGACTTTTAAGAGCATTACTGTGCTTTTGATGAGTTAGAGGGGTGGATCAGAGACTGGCGGGAGGAGGAGGGAGAGATGGAAGGAGGGAGGGGGGAATGGAGACAGAGGGAGGATTGAGGGCTGCTAAAACGAGTGCTAGATGAAAGGGCCAGTGACTGTCTGTAAGTAACTGAAGCTGACTCCTGTTGTCTAGACTTCAGGTTAATCGTAGCCCTCTAAACCTGACCATTAGAGTGCATTAACAGCACACAGACACTGCCATGGCTGGCCACACTGTTGTAGGGCATATGATTTCTTCCCAATTATTAATGTTTCACACTCAATAGTTCTCAAGAGTAGAAACTGTGGTTATAGAACCTATATTCATCTGTACATTTTGAATGATTTGCAGCTATTTGTTTGAGGTATTTTTAGGTTGCTTTTTGGGAAGACTTGTGTTTGCATGTTTTACTGGCCTATAGTCTATATGACAGACATATATATTTCACAACAAGCTCATTTTACAACACCACAAATTTCAACACAAGAAGTGGTAATGAAAAAAAAGCAATTTTGCTAAAATCACAAACAAGCACAGAAATCCGAAAAGAGTGACAGTTCTGTAAATCAACTAGGGGGACTAGAGTGACGCTTGTCCAAACAAGAATGTGCAAGCCCCATATGTTTTGTCTGAATGCCCTCTGGATATTTAGGAATCTAAAGAGACTATTTACTTTTTTACGTTTTAATGCACCAGGCTCTCAAACAAGGGACCTCCCGGGAAGTACAAATTAGTATACTTATGGAGGCGGCGGCGACCGGCGTCCGGTGGCGGGGGAAGAATTGGGCATTGGCCAGTTTTATTACAATGCTACTGGAGTTTAGCGGGTCTGCTGCCGCCGCGACCGAGCACTGGTCAGGTGGATGCCATGCGGATGATTCAAGAGGCTGAGTTGTTACTCATCCATCAATAATGGACAAGAACCCTTGGAAACGGAAAACCATATGGTTCAAAAAAGCTGTTTTCACGTATGTAGACGGTTTGAAGCATGTCTGTAAAATGTTCCAATAACTTTTTTTTCAGAAGCTGTGTTTTAACATAGTTCCCTGATGTTGGTTAGAGGGAGGTAGGCTAGCCAAGGCTATTTTGTTAGCCCATTGGATCATCTTGTAATATCCCATGTCAAACGTCTCCAGATTACCTCCCTTCAATTTGAATTGAAGTACAATCCAGTACCGTATCCTTGTCTTCTACCCTGCCTCATTAGTTTAAGTCCAGTGGACCACGAAGCTCTCTAATAATGTGCAGCTACTTCAACAGCTTCGGAAATGCCAGGCAGGCAGAAATAAAGACTCCAGCTGGGGCTTTGATCTTAAAGCATAAAGAGTCTTGGAAAAGGAGTTCGGCATGAAACGGATAGCGGAAAAGAAGGCGCAAAACCTAGACTTCACTAATAGCCTACAGTACCGAATGGATTGAAACTGTTGCAGGCAAGCATGGGTTAGTAGGCTAGTCTAGAAAAACGCATAATCTCTTGCCATTTGAATGCTTTCACACAAGTACCGGCATACACGAGCAGACATTTGCGTTGAGAACAAGCATGTTTGAAGCGCACGGCTTTATGGATAAGATTTTTTTTTTTATGGAATGAAAAATATGCGATTTACCTTAATGTTGCTGGTGGATGCTCTCTCAAAAGTACCGAATAGCACGACAGTGCTGTGAATAAGAATAATACCGAATCTTGCGCTCCAAAGACAGTACATGGTTCATTTAGGAACAAGGAGACCTCGCCCCCCAACCTTAACCACAGCTTGAAAGGGAGGCTCGCACTAAGAGGTCTATTGGGAAGAAAATCCTTGATGCTTTCTTTAATGGCTTTACAACCTGCTGGCCCGAAGGGAAAAGGGGGTTGGTCAAGCCGGCTTTGATTGACGTTGTAGACTTGCAGAACCTTGTACTCTAACTCTGAAACCCACTTCTGGCTCTTTAAATAGTGACTACCTCCACCAGGGGTAGTGGGATAGTTCTCCTGTGTGTGTGTGTGTGTGTGTGTGTGTGTGTGTGTGTGTGTGTGTGCGTGCGTGCGTGCGTGCGTGCGTGAGCGAGAGAGAGAGAGAGAGAGAGAGAGAGAGAGAGAGAGAGAGAGAGAGAGAGTGAGAGTATTTTGGCACCATAAGCAAGAGAGAGTGTTTTGGCACCATAAACAAGAGAGAGTGTTTTGGCACCATAAACATTTTCACATCGATTTGCCTATATTTATAGGGTGTAGAGAAGCAATTATTAATAGTATAAAAAGGGGAAAGACCTATGGTGTTATGATGTAACACAGAATAGGGAGGTAGGGTAGTTGAACTCAAATCTCATGTCCCCTTATGCATAAGGGAGTGAAATTTACACAATTGTTACCTGGAGGAAAATGGGGGAGGGTCATGCTTTTTCAATTTCAGTCAGGGAGAGGTTTTAGTATTTTTTAAAGTAGTCCAGGGGAGGGTCATGTCACTTGTAATCAATTAACAAACCTAATGCAATGGTAACGCTTAGATTGGTGTGTCACAAATATTTTTGCTAGTTTGCTAGTTTTGGTGGCGCAAAGGGCTGGGTTTTGATGAATAAACCAGTTGTGGGTGTGTCGAGACTTGGCCCCTCACTGGCCAATCAGAATGTGCTCCAATGGCTAAATATGTGGTTGCTTCAAGTTGTGTATTTACAGTCTTTTATGTATTGCCTTTGAATCAACTCCAATTCCAATGTTAGTCCATTATAGTTTGTTAAACCGCTTACAGAAACGAAATAACAAAATGTAGACCCATCCCATCTTTGCTAAATATCTTAACTTGAACCTGTTTGCAGTCAAAATGGTTCTAAGTAATTATATGGCTTCAATGTGGAAATATATACAGTTGAAGTCGGAAATTTACATACACCTTAGCCAAATACATTTAAACTCTGTTTTTCACAATTCCTGACATTTAATCCTAGTAAAAATGCCCTGTCTTAGGTCAATTAGGATCACCACATTTTTTTGAATGTTGTTGTCCTTAAGCCATTTTGCCACAACTTTAGAAGTATGCTTGTGGTCATTGTCCATTTGGAAGACCCATTTGCGACCAAGCTTTAACTTCCTGACTGATGTCTTGAGATGTTGCTTCAATATACAGTGGGGAAAAAAAGTATTTAGTCAGCCACCAATTGTGCAAGTTCTCCCACTTAAAAAGATGAGAGAGGCCTGTAATTTTCATCATAGGTACACGTCAACTATGACAGACAAAATGAGGAAAAGAATTCCAGAAAATCACATTGTAGGATTTTTAATGAATTTATTTGCAAATTATGGTGGAAAATAAGTATTTGGTCAATAACAAAAGTTTCTCAATACTTTGTTATATACCCTTTGTTGGCAATGACACAGGTCAAACGTTTTCTGTAAGTCTTCACAAGGTTTTCACACACTGTTGCTGGTATTTTGGCCCATTTCTCCATGCAGATCTCCTCTAGAGCAGTGATGTTTTGGGGCTGTCGCTGGGCAACACAGACTTTCAACTCCCTCCAAAGATTTTCTATGGGGTTGAGATCTGGAGACTGGCTAGGCCACTCCAGGACCTTGAAATGCTTCTTACGAAGCCACTCCTTCGTTGCCCGGGCGGTGTGTTTGGGATCATTGTCATGCTGAAAGACACAGCCACGTTTCATCTTCAATGCCCTTGCTGATGGAAGGAGGTTTTCACTCAGAATCTGACGATACATGGCCCCATTCATTCTTTCCTTTACACGGATCAGTCGTCCTGGTCCCTTTGCAGAAAAACAGCCCCAAAGCATGATGTTTCCACCCCCATGCTTCACAGTAGGTATGGTGTTCTTTGGATGCAACTCAGCATTCTTTGTCCTCCAAACACGACGAGTTGAGTTTTTACCAAAAAGTTATATTTTGGTTTCATCTGACCATATGACATTCTCCCAATCCTCTTCTGGATCATCCAAATGCACTCTAGCGAACTTCAGATGGGCCTGGACATGTACTGGCTCAAGCAGGGGGACACGTCTGGCACTGCAGGATTTGAGTCCCTGGCGGCGTAGTGTGTTACTGATGGTAGGCTTTGTTACTTTGGTCCCAGCTCTCTGCAGGTCATTCACTAGGTCCCCCCGTGTGGTTCTGGGATTTTTGCTCACCGTTTTTGTGATCATTTTGACCCCACAGGGTGAGATCTTGCGTGGAGCCCCAGATCGAGGCAGATTATCAGTGGTCTTGTATGTCTTCCATTTCCTAATAATTGCTCCCACAGTTGATTTCTTCAAACCAAGCTGCTTACCTATTGCAGATTCAGTCTTCCCAGCCTGGTGCAGGTCTAGAATTTTGTTTCTGGTGTCCTTTGACAGCTCTT